AGGTGTCTCCGGGGTCCGGGGGGCAGAGCAGATGGGGTGCTGCTGGGTTGGTCCAGTAACGCCGAGGAGTGGCGCTGCGGGACCAACCCGTCAGCACCCCAGCTGCTCTGCCCCAGGCGTCCCCAAGAGCAGCTGGAGTGCTGACGGGTTGGTCTCGCGGCGCCAAGGGTCAGCGCTACCGGACCAACCCAGCAGCACTCCAGCTGCTCTGCTGCAGGCATCCCTGATTCAGCCGCTGCTGAAACTGACCACCAGCAGCTGAATTGGGGACTCCTGCGGCAGAGCCAGACTATCAGAAGGGAGGGCTATGAGGGGGTCTGGGATAGCATCCTCCCACCCCACTCCAGACCCCTCATAGCCCCCCCCTTCTGATAGTCCGGCATATCTGATAATCCAGCACCCCCTGGGTCCTAAAGGTGCCGGATTATCGGAAGTTTACTGTAGTTGGGTTTGGCATTCCAGATATTGGTACTAACAGGCCACATCAATAGTTTTAAATGTGAATTCTAAAAATAGCTAATAGTAAGATGAAGTGGATATTCAAAACATCTGGCCACACTGCAGTGCACTCCCAGTTTTGTAATTACTTTCTAATAAACAGTTTGTAAAATGGGAGGTTGGCAGTAAACACAGATTTGGGTATGATTTAGGGAAATATTCCCGAATCAGTTTAAGAACATATCCTTGTTCTATCATTTATAGCTGCTATGGAAAGCAGAGTTGCACTAATGAGCACAGAAATCTTTATCTGCCACTCATATAACATCATACAGCAGATGTTTTGAAAATTCTTGGCTTAACACAAAGCTGCACTTTTCCGATCCCTCTTTCTAAATAATCGGGCATAGCCAATTGACCTGTGTCTTGGAATACGCACCAACTTTACAGTTTGAGGAACAAGCACGGACTATGAAAGGTCTAAGCAATATAATTTCTAGAAACCCACTTCAAGTATCCATGTACTTCCAATAATGTATTTCAACATCAGCCTTCTAACTCTCTTGGGCTGCATATCAGGTTACTCTAAGCCAATTACCAAAGGAAGTATTGATTGTGGTTTTGGGGAAGCAGGTTTAAGTAGCAAACCCCTTCAGTTTTTAGAATTTTGAGACTGCTAGGAAAAATTTAAATTTAATTTAATTTAAGAGGGTGTGACGACGTACTACTGTCAACAAGTCTCAGTTCTGGTGCTTTTAACATCTCACCTTTTTGCTCCACCAGCATCTGGTGAAACAATCGTACAGTTCTTCCATTCTGCAATGTTTTCTTTAATCCACTTCAGTACAGCAGGCTCTGCATACAAGTTATCCACAGGGATATCAAAAAAACCCTGTCGTAAGACAAACAAGAGTAGATATACTCTGCATAAAACTGAAGGTCAAATACTAAAGACAGACCTGCAGAAAGCAATAGAAACACTGAATATAATCAGGCACCCAACCACTGCCTTGTCATAGCACTATTATTCAGCTGTCTTTTCCACTTAATAGAATGGCACTAATTGTTGAAATTCACAGAAAGCTAATGCAAAATCTCATCTTTCCTGTCTCCATAGATGAGGAACGACACCCTTTCCTTTTAATTTCTGTCATGTACTTAGGGATGTTAAATTTTGATTAATCAGCTCAATTAGCCGATAAGGGGAGCGCTCGCTGTCTCACTGCACCTCTGCCTTTGTAATGTACAAGAACCACCTTTGGCACTGGTACATTTCAAAGGAAGAGGTCCAACGGGGAACCGGTGCGAGGAGGGACTGAAGCAGTCCCTGCTTGTGCGGGGTCCCGACTGCTGCACCTCTGCCTTTGAGCCACGGGCGGCTCTTATACATCTCAAAGGAAGAGGCACAGCAGTTGGGACCCTGTGCGAGCGGGGACTCTTCGGTCCCCACTCACACCATTTCCCCAGCTGTGCCTCTGCCTCCCCTATCTCCCACATGGAGACGGTGTTAGGGGGGAACTGGACGAATAGTGACTCGACTACCCAATATGCCTAGGCTTATCGGGTAGTCTAGTTCCTTACAACTCTACATGCACTTTCCTGATTTTCAACATGAAACCAGTCCCATGCTCACAAAGACCTTATGTGGACATTAACTGCATCTATTAGCACAGCAGATAGTTGCTGAGGGTATGTCTACACTACCACCCTAGTTCGAACTAGGGTGGTAGTGTAGACATACCCTCAGCAACTATCTGCTGTGCTAATAGATGCAGTTAATGTCCACATAAGGTCTTTGTGAGCATGGGACTGGTTTCATGTTGAAAATCAGGAAAGTGCATGTAGAGTTGTAAGGAACTAGACTACCCGATAAGCCTAGGCGTTACCGTTACTCCTTACAAGCCAGCTCACACCTTGCTGCCTCTGATACAGAGGCAGCAAGGCAAGGGTGGGGGGGAGAAATGCACGTAGCCAACAGGATTAACCAATAAGACCAGGTTTATTGATTAATCCTGTAGTCGACTACTGTGATGTAGTGGGGGGCTGTCTGCTCTGTAACCAGGTGTCCCCCTGTGCAGTGATGTGTGATTCCCACTGACTCATCACATGTGTATTAGTCCAGATACCTAGGACCAGCCTGACCAGATAACAAGGCTCTTCCCCAGGGGAGAGACAGGGCTCTTCCCCAGGGGAGAGACAAAGGGAGGGAGGCGGAGACGAACACCTGGTTTGGGGGCAGGGTCTGGGAGCCAGGCAGTGGCTGGCTGGGAAACATGAAGGAAACAGCCTAAGCTGAGGGTCTAGGGGAGGCAATGGACCCCTAACCCAAGGGGTCTGAGGCATCCTGGCCCTAACCCCTGTAAGCACATCACATCTGTGCTATGCTGTATCCTGGAAAAGCAATAAACCCTCTCTAGTCTACTGGCTGGCAGAGTCTGTTCTTGCTGCTATGGGGCTGCAGGACCAGGGGGAACCCGGCCTCATCGTCACAACTAAACATTGACATCCCTGCCTGGTTGAAATCAGTAGTTCTGATAAACCAGATGCCAGGGGCTCTGTGTTCCCCAACTCCTCCATTTACCAATTTTCACCTAAATCAACAGGATTCTGCCCATTAATGCCTAAAACAGTCCCCCAAATTTTTGTATTTATCAGGTGTGATGTTCAAAAGTTGTTACATTAAAACTGGACAGAGAAATATCATTAAGTTCAGTACATGGCCTTGATTTGCTTGGTCAATCAAGAACAACAGTTTTACTTATAAAAGACCATGGCTACGTCTAGACTGGCCCCTATTCCAAAATAGCCATGCTAATTTCCAACTTTGGAATAGCGAAATCCGTGGGGGATTTAAATATCCCCCGCGGATTTCCCTATTCCAAAGTTGGAAATTAGCATGGCTATTTCGGAATAGGGGCCAGTCTAGACGTAGCCCATGTGTTATGTAACAAACTAAGGATGTAGTTACTGCTTGCCATTGCCCTACATCATCCCACAGTTAAGATCTGAGAAGTAGAAGCATCATCTGCTTGTCTACATCATCTTCCCGTGTTTTGGTTCATACCTGAATCTGAGAAGCATGTAGGTCCATAGTTATGATGTGGTCAGCACCTGCCACAGAAAGCATGTTTGCGACCAGCTTGGCAGAAATTGGGGCTCGACTCTGAAGTACAAGAAAAAGCCATGTTAATTTGGATGACAGCACACTCACTTGCGGGTTTACAAGTAGTAATACATTTCAGCCTCTCCCTCAGGGTATCATTGCCTGAAAGTCTGAAAATATACTTCGATTTTAATTAAAACTGCCAATTCTCGTGAACACCCACACTTCCTCCAAGAAGGAAAATAGCTTGTTAAGCTTCCAAAAGGAATAGACATTTATATACTTCAAGACAGCATCTGCAGTTCCAAAGATTATGATACAAGTTGGCAAATGTCAGGCTCAAAAAGTAATTGACTATGCTAAAATCATTTTCCCCTGCCTTGCTTATGCACTTTGCACACTGCCCTCTGAAGCACTGGCTGCTGGATAGAGACTAGATGGACATATTCCTTTATGGAACTCCTGTTTGCATTACCTTGTCCTTTTTGTCCTGGCGAGCATAAGGGAAGCATGGAATGACTGCAGTGACACGGCTAGCAGATGCAATCTTACAGGCATTTATCATGATGAGAAGCTCCATCAGGTTATCATTGATTTCACCGCACCCACTCTGCACAATGTAGACGTCCTCCCCACGCACACTCTCACCTATTTCCACACTAGGTGGAGGTGGAGACAAAAAAAACAACAAGTGAAATAAAAAGCACAAACCAAATACAATTTGTTAACAGCAAGCAGCCTGCATCAGCAGTTTCCATGCAACTTAGTAACTTATCAAACGACTCCCAGAAAGGCAGTTATTTGCTCAGTAACTGTCCAATAGATTTTGCTTAAGTAACCCCAATACAGTAGCAATAACTTCCAAGTTAATAGTAAATCCCATCCCATAATATTTAATATTACTGGCATTCACATCCTGGCAACAGCATGCCACTTATTAAAACTATTTTGAAGAAAGGTTCCACCTGTTGGCAGTTTTGCAATACTGAAGCCAGGGAAGAAAAGGCTGAGATATACCTTCCCATGTTGCTTCCAGGTCAGGGGTGGGCAAAAGGGCCTCCACAGGCTGGATGCAGCCCACCAAGCAGGTTGATCCTGCCTGCAGCGGGGCCTGCCATTCCCCCATCCCAAGGCCAATCAAGGCCTGGGGGAGCACGCTAGGTCTCCTCCTGCCTTGCAAGGAACTCAGCACTTAGAGTTAACTACCAGCTGCTGCTCAGCTGTTGGGTGACTAAGTGCAGTGCTCCTTTGCAGTGCAGGGGCAGACTTCACATGTTCCCCCCACCCCCAACTGACCTGGGGGTGAGGGCGAGTGGGAGGGCAAAGCCTCCTTCCACCCTGAGGGCACCTAGAGGGAACTGCCAGCAGTTCAGAACAGCTGGGGATTCTCTCCAGGGGGAGGGGGAGAAGGAGGGAGGCAAAGACTGGAGGCCCACAGACCAATCAGGGCCAGGGGACAGGGAAGCATGGAAGTGTCCTGGCCCCGCCCCTTCCTTCAAAAATTTCGGAAGTGTCCCCTGATGAAAAATTATTGCCCACCCCTGTTCCAGGCGAATGTGCCTGCATGCGGACTGCTCCAGAGGGTAAGGAGCTGTGAGGGGAGGCTGTAGACAGGGCAGTAGCGGGGAGGGGAGCTGCAGCCCTGATGCTGGAGCTGCATGGTTCCTTCTCCCCTCGCTCTCCAGGCTGTGCCATGTCACAGAACAGCACCCAGGGAAGAAAATTCTGGGAGCAGTACAATGGAGCCTCGTGAGACCCTGGTGCCCTGTTCCCACAGAGAGCCACAGCACCCAGGCTGCACTTCCACTTGCCACAGGCAGGTTTGCAGGGCTACAGCCAGGGAAAGCACATCCTAGTACTGTACCTCCTTCCCCGGCTGCAGCCCTGCAAACCTGCCTTTTGTTTATTAGCAACAATGGCAATGATTTGCTAGCAACAAAGGGTCTGTTAATACTTAGAATCTACTGTATTTTACATTGCTTACTTTGATTACATACACTGATTCAGTTGATAAAGCAAAAGACATACTGCTTCTATTTTAGATCTCTAAGTAATATGTACTCCTAATACCCTGAAGAGTGCTTAAATTCTTTCAGCTCACACAGGAGAAACACTGAACATAATTTTACTTACACCAGGCTTCTTTTAAAGAAGGAAACAATGATGGTACATCAGCAAAGCAAGTCCCGAGCCAGATTTTTAGAAGAGCCCACAGGGCAGAAAAACATAAAACTAACATTTAAGAGCAGGTTACCCGCATAAGCAGCATCCTGTTCTAAGAAAGCATTCAGGGTTAATTTCTTCATGGGTGTAATTCACAGTAATCCCTGATGAAGGGATTCTGAATATATGCCAGAGGTCCCAGTGCCAGCAGCAAATGGCCAGACAGCTTTAGAAAAATGTACAGAGAGGCCTGCCCCACAACAGAGAGGGAGATGAGGCAGTGGCATCTGTATCAAACCTGAAGTCTGAAGAAGTGCTGTGTAGGCCTAATGTGGCAGCAGATTGCTCCAAAATGTTTCTGTTGAGAGAACAAGCCAGAAACACTGGAAGTAGCTAGAAATCCCAGAATCTATGGAGCGAAAAACAGGGCAACTTTGACCTTATCTGTACTAGACACAGCCATTCTGGAGGAAGCTTCGCTTTGGATTATAGCCAATGATATTGGTTGTTATTAAGGGGTAAGTGGCTACAAGAGATTATGTGAGTCACGCTGAGGTCAGTTCAATTTTATATGCAGTTTTATCGTATATCAAAATTTTCATAAAAGGAAATAACACTCCCATTCAGTCCCTGCACACATTTCCCAACTTCCTGTCTCTTAATTTTATAGTTCAGACACAAATGTAAGATCAGCTGATCTTTTGTTAAACGCCAAGAAGAACTGATTAGGCAGACAATTTCACCACCCCAGGTAAACACCCTACTGGCTGATGAGGAGGAAAAAGCATCTGTATTATTCTTGTGCAGTCGGCATTATTTGCTAATATTAAGAGCTCGATCAGCCAGCTGGAAGGATAAGAGCTTTGACACACAATTCTGGAGTCAGTGTAATGACACGAGCTGTAATTCAGTAAACAAACCCCTATCTTTGACAAGTTTCATCCAAACCACCTATCCATTGGGTTCTCATTTACAGCCCATATTCATAGAATGAAAACAGACATACTGATTTTCCTAATATGTCTGTGTGTTCCATTCTCGTATAGCCTGAAAAACATTTACAAGACTCTTACTTCTCAAGCCCTTGCAACAGGATCCTTATGGTCCACATTTTTAGTAAGCAAGTACTAAATTGTGTGTTCCGTGAATTTACATGACATGACTCAGGAAAAAAAAACAACATTCTTATTTGATCCTGTTCAGAGCCAACACGTTTTTATAACTGCATATTAGATCTTCCTCCCTGAACTCATTTGCTGTTTCAGGAAAATATTAAGAATGACAAAGAATACAGCATGAAGCGAAATAGAAGATGTTAGAGCTTTGAAAAATTTTAGATGTAGTATTGGTATTTGAGAATTGCCAGAACATTTTAGTTATCTACACTCAAAACTAAACTCAAAAGTTCTCTAGACACACAAGGTGGGTGAGGTAATATTTTATTGGACCTACTGTTGGTGAAAAAGACAAGCTTTTGAGCTTACAATGACCTGAAGGGCTCAGAGAGCTTGACAGCTTATCTCTTTCATTAACAGAAGTTGGTCCAATAAAATATATTACTTCACCCTCCTTGTCTTTCTAATATCCTGAAATCAACATGGCTACAATACTACAATCAAAAGTTCACTATCTTGTCTGCAACAAGGGAAGCAGTTCACTTCCCAAAGACCTAAGTCTGTACCACCTCAAGTTACCTTAATGGGTTGCTAAGTGACCATAAGACTTTAAATGTCAACACCCTTTAGGGGCTAAAAATACCAAGCTTCTAGAAGATGCTTTTCAGTGTGATTGGATGCACCAGCCACACCCTAATGATCCTTTCATTTGGAAAATCATGCTCTATTGATATTCAAAACTTTAAACTTTATACTAGTCTACTCTTTGATTGCAAGGATTTTTACAATAACTAGAAGTAAGAACAGTTTTTATTTAGTGCTAATTTGCTACAGTCTTCAAGTTTCCACCATGCTGCTTATAGTATGAAGCATGGCAGAATAGAAACTAGGAGGCAAGGCACAAATAGTTACTGAACAAGTATGCTGTATTCAGATTAGTTCATGTCAAACCAATCCCTCTGCCTCCCATAATATCAAGTTATCAGTAAGAGAAATTGGGTGAGGTAATAGTTACTGAACAAGTATGCTGTATTCAGATTAGTTCATGTCAAACCAACCCCTCTGCCTCCCATAATATCAAGTTATCAGTAAGAGAAATTGGGTGAGGTAATAGTTACTGAACAAGTATGCTGTATTCAGATTAGTTCATGTCAAACCAACCCCTCTGCCTCCCATAATATCAAGTTATCAGTAAGAGAAATTGGGTGAGGTAATAGTTACTGAACAAGTATGCTGTATTCAGATTAGTTCATGTCAAACCAATCCCTCTGCCTCCCATAATATCAAGTTATCAGTAAGAGAAATTGGGTGAGGTAATAGTTACTGAACAAGTATGCTGTATTCAGATTAGTTCATGTCAAACCAACCCCTCTGCCTCCCATAATATCAAGTTATCAGTAAGAGAAATTGGGTGAGGTAATAGTTACTGAACAAGTATGCTGTATTCAGATTAGTTCATGTCAAACCAACCCCTCTGCCTCCCATAATATCAAGTTATCAGTAAGAGAAATTGGGTGAGGTAATAGTTACTGAACAAGTATGCTGTATTCAGATTAGTTCATGTCAAACCAATCCCTCTGCCTCCCATAATATCAAGTTATCAGTAAGAGAAATTGGGTGAGGTAATAGTTACTGAACAAGTATGCTGTATTCAGATTAGTTCATGTCAAACCAACCCCTCTGCCTCCCATAATATCAAGTTATCAGTAAGAGAAATTGGGTGAGGTAATAGTTACTGAACAAGTATGCTGTATTCAGATTAGTTCATGTCAAACCAACCCCTCTGCCTCCCATAATATCAAGTTATCAGTAAGAGCAATTGGGTGAGGTAATATCTTTTATTAGACCAACTTCTGCTGGCAAGCATGGCCAGCTTTCAAGTAGGGATGTAAAATCCTGTTTAATTAGTGAACTGTTAAGTTAAAGTGGAGGGGCAGTCAGGCTAGAGCACCTCACCTTCCCCTTGGTGGGGGTTGCTCTGGCCATCCCATGGGGCTGCATCATCTCACACACACACCTGGCCTAGGTCACCATAACCCTCACCATTTACATACTTACTTTCAACCTACACACAGCTCTTCCACAGTTTAGCCACACCAAGAGGGTACCCAGTTTCACGTGGGTTTGCACACAGCACTAGTAAGCAAAGCACCACTATCAGACCCCATGCTTCTGCAGCCCCGTACACAGATAGTCATGCTCACACTAGCATAGGAATTACACCCCTCGCTCAGTGTTATGGTCAAACATGCCATGTTCCTGCGGAACAATATGGCAATCTGTTTTTTCAGTGGAAGCCTCTGGAAGGGTTAGAGCCGCAGTGACTAGTGTGGGCTCACTGTCTAACATCCACCCCTCCAGCCAAGAGTGCGCCAATTACTTCGTCAATCTCTCAAATTAAGCCTTCCTCAAATTAAGCTTCTGTGGC